TTTATGAATGATTCCTTATTAAGTACAACAAATATCTCAGAATTTTATTATTTTGACAATAAAGTTGACTTGTATCTTGTAACTAAAAATGAGAACGAGAAAAATTCTCTTTGAATTGTTCAATAATTCTATTCCTATAATCTTTGTATAAACCCTTCTACGTCACTTTAACGCTTTTCATAAAACAGATTAATTTTACCTTTGAATCATTTAAAAACAGTGATATAGTACACCTTCTGTTTCTGGTAGCAAATTTAACTATTTTCCGTATTGATGACTTAAATAATTACAAACTTATTTGTGTGACTTATTGAAAGTTGATAACGTATGTAAGTTTTTTAAATGGGCATTTCAAAGTTATAGATTAATATTTTTAATTTTTCCAATGATTTAGGTGGCAGTAATTTTTAAAGAGAGGTATACTCCACTTATATTCTGTCTACAGGCAATATTCTGTAAGCCTGCCCATACGGTACTCTTTTGCCTCTCAATTTGTTATAGGCCTATGCCTACTCATATTATAGAGGCCTCTCTTACTAGGACTTTATAGACATAAGCTTACATTCTGGCGACAGCGGATTTTCTGCTTTTGCGCATCCCGGATAGTGAGGCCAAATGGATAAATAAAATAAAATAAATATACTGTAGTTTTAGAGTAGTTAGTATTGTTAACAGTAGAATATTTAACACGGGTTCAAAATAATATGCTAAAATTGAGTAACGTCATATAATCATTTATTCATCACGATTTTAAAAACTTATTTAACCGTAGTCTATATCCGTATGTTTATATAAATAGGTAGGTTACAGTGTTTTTGTCTTTATATGTATGATTGTCACAGCTGTATTATATTGTAGCCCTATACGAATATTAGGAGCTTTGAACAACAAATCTAATTTTTAGTGAGGACAAACAAATTTGATTCTGATTCCTATTTAATTTTTCTTCATTTCTTTCATAATATTTTTAAATATTATTTATTGTAATATATATCACCAAATTCAGGATGGAAAAAAATCGAAAATTGAAATGTTTTAATTTTAATCTTGCAAGAAGTCATACATACTGTAGGTAATAAATTACCTGTATTCTCTACTGTTTATCAATTAATGTATCAGCACATACTTCAGATAGATGGTGCAAGACTATTATTTTCTTATTAAATGTCCCTTGAGACATCTGTCGGTTTACAGCATTTTAAAAACAGAACAGCGTTTGATATAGTCTTTTGTGTTTAAATCACTATGTTTTAAAAACATTGTCCGCTCGGCGACACACTTCAATTGTAGTTATGACTTATCGATGTATACCACCAGAGATGCTATAAAGGAAGAAGCAAGTGCTTACCGTGCGGATCAGTATTTCTGGATCCCAACCCAAGTTTTATAATCTTTTTATAGTGTTTCCTCTTTCCGCTCTATTTCTTTATGCTGTTACCCGAGAAACTAAAGAATATGGTAAGTCCATGCTAATCTATGGCTGCTGTTACTTAATGGAACTTGGTCCACTTGTTCGAGTACTCCGCACGTGCGTCAAACAATTACGGGATATAAGGGCTGTCGTTTTGGGTGCGTTTGTGCCCAACTTGTCATCGTCGTCAGGATTTGGTGCGTAAAACACGTGAACCCGTCCTCCTTACAGGGGTCAAATCCACTTACAACTACGGATCAGCAATCGTTCACAACTTACTGGCCAATTGAATAACGGCACAAATTTAATGTAAGTTGAGAAATACGGATAGGGATACGAAACAGAACTAGGATAAAACTAAAATATACATACAAATGATGAAAATAGAATGTATTATTTTAATACAAAACATCAGTCTATTACATGTAAACCATCAAGCGTACACCTGGTATATAAATCACTTAATATACGCTGCTTTAAACTATTACTCATGTTGCATAAACCATATTTCTATTTTATAGACACGCACATAAAATCTATTTTTAATGTTTTATAGCCACGACACCGCAACAATACAAAATACAAAAGCAAGATGACCACGAAGATAACATATAACAAAAAGTTGTGCATTCAACCCGCGTCTTGTGAAGGAAGATCGCTTTATCTTAGCCTATAGTACACTATAAAGGCGCCGTTTTATGTATCCTGGCCACTACGTAACCTATTTTTTAGAAGAGTTTATATCAAGAAATCATAAATGTACTGAACAGAATATATCGATGAATCGATGAGAGATTTTGATGTATTCCCGACTGTCTGTAAGTACGTAACAATTAGCACTAAATGAATAACACTTTATCCATCATTAATATTTCTTGTGGGTTATTTGAGGACATTTCGTTGATTTGTAAATGGTTGGTTTTGTGATGGTTTAATTTTGTTTGGAAAAAGTTTTATTTGAATTTTTGTTAATACCTTCGCAAATTAAATAATTTGCTGCTATGTATGGATGTTGTTGTTAATTGAATAAAATTCTTGAACAATTAACAAATGTACTGAAATTAGTCCCACGGACTGGTATACTTAGCCTAAGTACTGTTTATAGACCCTATTGAGTGATGTACTGTATAGGGCCTACTTAATGGTATTCTGATGTACTGTTATAGGCCCTACGAACAGGTATACAGATGTATATAAATGTTGGACATCGGATGTAAATGTACATAATAATACGGAATAGGCCCTACTGAGAGATTCACTGTTATACTTATAGACCTATTAAGCAATTTCCTGTAATACAGATAATCTTCTACTGAGTGATTTACCGATGTCCTGATAGGCCCTATTGAGTGATTTACCGATGTACTGATATAGGCCCTACTAAGTGATTTACCGATGTACTGATATAGGCCCTATTGAGTGATTTACCGATGTATAGGCCCTACTAAGTGATTTACCGATGTACTGATATAGGCCCTACTAAGTGATTTACCGATGTACTGATATAGGCCCTACTAAGTGATTTACCGATGTACTGATACGCCCTACTAAGTGATTTACCGATGTACTGATATAGGCCCTACTGAGTGATTAACCGGTGTACTGATAGGTCGTACTGAGTGATTTACCGATGTACTGATATAGGCCCTACTAAGTGATTTACTGATGTACTGATATAGGCCCTGCTGAGTGAGTTACCGATGTACTGATATATGCCATGCTGAGTGATATACTAATATAGACTCAGTGATAAACTGATGCTGATTTGGGCACACTGATATAGACCACACTGAGAGTGCGCAGTGACTTATTATCCCATGGTCATTGTTAAAAACACCAGGTTCTACTTGTAGCAGTATTCAGAGCAATAGCATCCATCAGGGTACTATTTAAATCTTGGGTGGAAAGAAACAAATGCAGACAAACTGCCTTGTCCAACGACACCAGACCCAGACTCGATCAACCCCTCCTGTTTCCACTTTTGGTGTCCTTAGGAAATCGACTTTACCCACCACAACCAGACCCCTGAACATTCGATTGGAAACAAGAGCCATTCTCCTGTCTCTCAGTTCTGACCACCCTAGCTTAGGCCATTGCATCCATAATACTATAGCATTGTTTTCACTTACGACAACTCAAACAGCACATTATTCCCATTCCTAGTTTCTGATTAGGCAAGCTTTTGGTGAGGACCGCACAAAAAGGGGGCGTATATAGTCGCGGACGAAACCAACCAAATAATAATTCATGAATGGAGATTCTTTAAGTGAAATTTTGTTTTATATTGATATTGATGTCTTTGATATTGATTTTTACTAAATATTATTTGCTACCGATAAATAATTATTTTTTTTATTAAGGGTAGTAACGGTTGTGCTAGGGAATCTGGATCGCCAATATTCTTAGATCCCATGTTAATTATATCAGGACAACATCGATAAAGCGATCTCTTAAATGTTAGTCCACACTATCAGATTTTCTTTGGCAAAAACTGTCGTATGCCCATATTTAGTCAGGATTGCCTATATATGGTCATGATGTGATGTCATCATTACCATATTAATGTATGTTCACATGTTTTATCAAATAGAATGTGATAGTCTTGACAGGGATTTTATAAGACGATTACTTTTATTGATCTGTCAGTTTGTTTCAGAATAGATCCTCCGTTGCTAAATAATAAAACAGCAATACATTTTTGTCTTTGTACTTGTTAAGTGGCTGCTGATTCATTCCAAGTTATGCTCTTTTAATTCATTAAGTACGCCGCTAATTAGTGTGTTAATCAGGCGATGATGGGCTAAATCTGAGTATTTTAATGACAAATGAAAAAGATAAACAGACCAGTTGTGTAATATGTATTGTTATAACGATAGCGATATAAAATTAATCTAGACCATAATTCATGTCCAATAAGTAAGTATAAAACAATAATTTGCCCTTATTGGGTACAAAAGTATTAATTTGAATTCAGAAATATGATTCAATTATGTATTCTAAATCAGTTGTGATTTGTAAACATAATGGAATAAGAAATTGGCTTAAAATCAAAGTTAAGTTACTCTCAGCTAATAAGAGCTATAATTGTAACAAAGGAACAAAGTTAGGACTAACTTGTGACATATGTGTGGCGATTTCTCCACCCCGAAAAGAAAAACAAAACAAACACTTTTATCGTACGCGTAGGTAGGTCACGTTTGGTAAGCTTAACTAAAACTATCCATTTCACCTTCTCTAACCGACTGACCTGTTGGATGCGTTAAAATATGACATATGTGTTGATTGAAAACATAAATTAAAAATCAAAACACACGTGGACGTTTAGGAATCAAGTAGCCAGACGACATATGTGACGAAATTTATAGCGATTTGATTGGTTGGCTCACACGCGAGAAGTTTTAGACTAGAATTGGTACGAGCCACTGATTGGCTGCGATTCGATGAAGCTGAGCGAACGGTCTAATTAAGGCGATCTAATGTAGTGTAAAGAGTTAACGTCCGAACACAATGCGCAGACTCAAAAGGGGAAATCAGAGCGTAACTAATTGGTAGGCAGTCCTGAGTTTTGTGTCAGTCACCAGTCATCATTGTTGTACTTTGCAATAAATTGAACCGCAATTGAGAACGACTACCACAAGCACTTAGCAAGTGAACCTGTAACTAAGTATCCTCAACCACACGTCAAGCCTGGCCTCAATCGTTCATATCGGTTCAGCTACTACCGTATTTATTGTTGATTCTGCACAAAATGGAGGTTAGTAATACGAATTTTTAACTTGTTAGATGACTGAAGTTTCTATTTTTATCAATTTCGTTATATATGTGTATAATATATATATGTTCCTTAGAGCACTGTTATTATTTATTTATTTGTTTATATACATTTATGTAAAATAATATGTAGAGATTTATAGTTTTTAATTATTTAGGATTTTTAAGCATTTACAAGCGTATTTTATCTATGTTTTATTATTATTTTTATTGGATTTTTAAAATGTTTTTATACTTTTTCTAATTTCTTATATTTCATAAATTAAAAATATACGAATGAATGAAAGTATAATTTGATATTTGTTAGAAATGCAAGTTTAATTTAATAGTTTATTTCATTTTATTGGTGTTATCATTTTTCTTCAACTTTAACAAGTCCAAAATTAGCAGCGATCGAAGTCGACTGTTAAACAAGACTAAAAAAATATATTATTGATTGAGATAAATTACTTGGAAGTAAACGAAAGCAGTGCGTAGTTACTTAAAATTGTAATTATTAGTTTTGTTTTCCTGATTAATTGAATGTGTTGTTTTATTATTACTAGTAAATTCCTCATTGATATATAAACAAATTATTTAATTATTTTCTAATTAAATTTGGCATCTATGAATCTATGAAAGTTTTTTTTATAGGCTATCTCTATTCAGTTCAAGCTTGTAATTTCGCATGCGTATGAAAATTATGCCAAAATATCGACACCAATCAATTTATTGATTCATTGTTTCTATTTATTAGGTTTCATTTGATGAATATAAAACCGCAGAGAAGAAACCTGTCAATGATGTTGTATTGAACCAAAATAAAAAATTGAACCTCACACAAGTTGAAACATCGAAATCAGAGAAGGCTAAAGAAAATACGAACGATTTAACCGGAGATAAGGATGACAAAGGCAGGGCTACAGGCCGTAAACGACGAAGTCGCACCCGTCGCCGTCGTAACAGAAGTCCTGGCCAGATTCTACGAATCAAGAGATCGAGGCGTGTGAAAGCGAACGATCGTGAGCGCAACAGGATGCATTCGTTAAACGACGCGTTGGAAGGCCTACGAGGAGTTTTACCAGCATTCCCAGACGAAACCAAAATGACAAAAATAGAGACTCTTCGTTTTGCACATAATTATATATGGGCTCTTCGAGAAATGTTAAAAATGGACGATAATGATGCCTTATCGGTATCGAAATACGAGGAGGATTCTGGGATACCTAGTCCTGTATCGACGTCATCTGCGTACTCATTCTCATCATCGGGCCAGGACGATTGGTGGGCAGCATCTCCAGAGCCACGGTCAATGCCATCGCCTTGTTACGATGAGTCTCAAATTGTGAGGCCATCGTGCGCATTGCAATCCACTACATCAATGCTGAATCCATTCTTCAACTACTGCCCTACTCGCTGGTCGAGATAACGGCTGCACTTAAAGGAAACAACGGCCGCCTGGTTTTGTTAACTAATTGAGGCATTTTGACCACAAACCAATTGTCATGTGAACTCAAATGCGAGAACTTTTTTGAATGACACAAGGAGAATCATGGCTCTAACCACCAAGGCCGTGGCACACTGGCATCCATTCCATTTCCATTTAATGTTTATATCTAATAATATTTTATAACCGATAATGAACTATTTGTAAATAAGATATAATAGTGGTTTCGGTCTAAAGTGATTTTTTTTTTCATTCGTTGTTTTTTCCACAACATTCGTTGTTACGAAGTGCTTTATATAGTCTATTTTATAATTGATTCCATTGGGTTTTTAATCGAACTTCGTATTGATTGCAATAAATAGTTTAATAACCAATTGAAATATGTTAGTTGTTTGTGTCTTCATTTTTATGATATTTTTGTGTCTTCTCGTAGGCCTATTAGCTTTGAATATTTTATTAAGTTCAATAATAAATATTATTCAAAGTAGTTACAGTGAAGAATGACATTTAAAAATGATATCGAGAACTGCTATTCAACTTTACTTTCAGAACCATTTAATAATATTAATGTAAAAAAATATTCGTTTAATAAATAATATTAAAAACAAAAGAGAAACTTGATAGTCTGCACCATAAAATTTATATTGACATAACACATAATTAAGGCCAACTCAGACAGCGTCGGCCAACGCAGCCCGACCCGATTTATCGTCGGGGACAGTCTTAAGCCGTCGTGAGAAATATTAAATTTAATATTCTACGACGCGACTACCCCCGACGCACACCATCGCGTCTGCGTTTAACTCACACAGACCCGACGCAACAACAAATCACGTCGGGCTGCGTCGTACGACGCTGTCTGAGTTGGCCGTAAGAATGATCTACGACACCACAAACATATATAATTAATTGATGATATACGAATGAACTTTATTATCGAGGTTTCGCAAGCTTCGATAACGGCAACGAATGCGATTACGTAATGAAATATTTAGTGACCCCCATCCCCTACAGTAACATACCTGTCACAACGTTGGTCATTCATGCCTTTCAGATGCATTAACGATCGTATTCAGCTCGTATAAGTACAACGATAATAAATATGAGGCATTCGTTATCGTTTTCTTAAGGTTGCGAAATCTCTATATTGTCCATTAAAAGGAATAATAAAAGCATCTTCAGCTGGCAATATAACAATTGTAGAACCAAGTGTAAGAGATGTGTATAAGAGACAGATATATATATATATATATATACGATAAGAAATATATTAAAACAGTAATGACATGCAAGCTACAATAGCTTGGAGCACGACTTTCGGAAGCCGTTGGTTCTTCTGAACAATATGGCCCCTGTGCGCATTAAAGAACGCAGTACACTCTTCTGAAAAGAGCTGCGGGGATTGTCTCCTGATGTCTTTATTTTACCACTACAATATAAATAAATCTTTGGACTTGTTCTGTGTTTTACACCTAAAACCGGGCGCACACTCTGCCCGATGTAGCACGTGACGGACGAAGTGACCTCCATCAGTGATACTTTTCTAGATGAGAGTTTTCTGTACAGAAAAAAACGTACCATTTTGGACAACAAAATCGTTTGTAGATAATAGCGATCTGAAGGAGGTCTCGAGCAATAGCCCACTTATTACATTATATTGTGTTCTATATTTTGATCCACACACTTTCAACCCCTTACACGTGCCAACGAGTTGTCCTATAATCCAGTTACAGTACTGTATCCCTCACGTTGTGTTAAGAAGTTTCAATAAGTGTAGGCCTGATATTTGATTGTCTTAATCCCAGTTACTCCTTACGTTGTATTAAGGAGTTTCATAAGTGTAACATTTCACGTTGATGGGTACAAAGGTTGCGTTCACACTTATACACGAGAGAACAAAACTTAAGTTTGCGTTTCCATTCGTCACTGTGTCTTTTATCTGGAGGCACGGGCGTGGAATGGCTTGGAAAACGAACGACACGCGAACTCTAAGCAAATCTTTGGATACTGTCATTGTTAGAGAGTAATTATCGTTGACTCGATGACAAAGCTCTTGTGGAAATCCGCCGTACGGACCTAAAAATCCGCGGGATGCCGGAAATTCTATTGTCGTTTATTGGTTTTACATTACGTTTCAATGTAATTCTTCAAAGTGACATTAAGTAAGTATTTTATTAAGGAGGAGATGAATCAACATCAATACTCTTAATCGTCTGACGCCTTTTGTTGATGTCTCCAGCAAGTCGCCATCACCAAATCGAATTGTGCCCTATTCTGTTTTTAATTATTGATCACCCAGATTTGTGAATGATCGAAATCATAAACATCTCTTATTCAGCCTGTCCATTCCATCTCTATAGTTACTGTATCATACAAAATATTGGCAGATTTTTTTCAGAAATAAGTCTAAGCATCTTTTCTGCATCTGGTTATGGTGTAATATTTTAAAAATAATATGGTACAGTATCAATTAAAACTGCGTAATTGAATAGGCATACTACTTACTACGGTAATTACTACTACTTAAGCCTACTTGATTACTTACATAATTTAAAACATTTAGTTGCTTGTTAAATTATATTGTAAGTTATAAAGTCATTCAAGATATTCATCTAATATTTCATTAAAAAAAAACAAAAAAAAAACAAACAAACATTTATATTAATAATGGAATTGGTGACAACACGGCATATGTATGACGTCATGTTGATGATACTCACCAACTTACATTATTTTGTTCATATTAACTACTTAGGCCTATTTAATTACCTAATTACTTACTAAAGCTTACTTAATTTTGAAATTGTTCACCGGCTTCATATATAATGTTATATTAGATTGTACGTAAAAAATTTTAAACATTATAGGCCTAGTATTTGAAAAAAAAAACTATTCATTCTTAAGATATTCCTTTGAATACAATTGGGGACAACGCGTTTTATTTCATACGTCATGTTAATTCACCAACCTACATTGTTTTGTCACTGTATATACATTTATACATAGATTACTGTGGATACAATTTATTATAAATGAGCAGCTGTAATTAAAATTACGTCAGAATCATTACCACAGTACATATTTATATGCGATTCACTGGAATTTCAATAAATAAATAAATAAATGAATGAATGAATGAATGAATGAATGAATGAATGAATGAATGAATGAATGAATAATAAATAAATAAATAAATAAATAAACAAACAAATAAATAAATAAGTTAAATTAGAAATTTCCATTTTGTAGAACCAAGTGTAAGGGTTAACCATATGAACTTTTCTTATGAATAAATAAATAATTTGATACACTTTACTATATCTACGATTTAAAGAAGAATAGTTAGACACAGGCATTCATAGTTAAAATAAAATGAAATACCATATTTTGTTTATAAACATTTTTATTTTACTGTATTATCATTTATATTTTATATTGAATATCAATAAAGAATGATCAAAACACATTGTATGTCTTCACATCTCGTGATTTTATCATTATCTTAGTGTTCATTGTGTTAATAAGTGCCTCTGACCGATTTCAAGTGGCTATTAATCCGCTGAAACTGTATTATCGAGTTAAAATAGGTTTCAAATTGCTTTTAAATTATTCCGCTTAATTTAGATTTTACCAAAGTATTAAGAATGAGGTTTATTTAAATGCTGCCTATTGAGGTGACGTGAGTAATGCTCTGCTAGACCATCTTCTGCTTAAATTAACACGATTGTTAACTGAGGCCTCGCTTCGTCCTAGGCAAGTGTCTGTGGTCTCATTAAAAGATTACGTTTCACCTGCAAAACGATGGGCCAATATGAAGTTAAGCAGCCAAGTGTAACCGCTTGTTTTGTTGCCAGTCACAAACAAACTGCTTCATTAATTCGTTCAGCAACAATCACTGCATTGTTATATGTATTTGATATTCTCGTAATTGCCTCAATTTTCTTTATCACTGTTATAACAATTTGATTTGATTTAGATGGTTATTCACTATTACCCCTTGATGGCAAGACCTGCAAATGGTCTAAGAGATTATGTATATATGTGTATGTGTGTGTATGTATGTATACATGTATATATGTGTATGTATGTGTGTATGTATGTATATATATATATGTATATATGTGTATGTATGTGTATGTGTGTGTATGTATATTTATATGAGTGTATATATGTATATATATGTATGTATATATATGTATATATATATACACACATATTTGGGTGGGGTACTGTATGCACGTAATGTGTATTATGTACATTATTTGTGTGGGGAGGGTGAGGGATGTTCATGATTTATTTTAGATCTTTTCTTTAGTTAAGTTCTTTCATTTGTTTAGCTTTAAGTTGTTGTTTTACTCTTTGTTCATAAGTTCTTTCATTTGTTTAGCTTTAAGTTGTTGTTTTTACTATTTGTTCATTAGTTTAAGTTTGACTGCGCCACTTTCTTGTGTGCTGCCACTGATGTAAAAGTGTAATGTCAATAAATATTATATTATATTATATTATGACCGCAACACGTTCTGTTTAGAAAGAACACTGTTTTCATTTCATTTCAGTATAACAAACATCATTAGTTACGTCACTGTTATATTATTATTGTTATTGTTATTATTATTGATATATTCTTTCTTTCGCTATTTCTATATACTCAATGTTTAGTCAACAACAAAAACAACATTTGTACAATAGCAGCCTGTACAGAAGTCGCAGTGGCTTATACATACTGGGACTAAACAATTTAAATTCTACACATAGAAAAGAAAGAATTACAACTAGAATAGAAAAAAAAGTATAAATATACAAATATACAGCCAGTGATCAGGGAAAAGTAGGCACAGACTCCTTCTATCATAAATATTGTTTTCTAATAATTATCCTCATAATCTCTATATATTTGTTATTAATATTATTATTAATTATTATACATTATTTATATTATGTTTACTGAATTTATAATTACTATGTAACTATTACTATTGTTATTGTTGGTGTTATTGTTATTGCTGTTTTATTATTGTGCTGTTGTTGTTATTGTTGGTGATAGCTATTGCTGTTGTGGACTTGTTATTAGTTGTTGTCGTCGTTATTGCTATTATCATTGTTACTATTGCTATTATTAGTATTATTATCATTATTAATAATATCATTAATTATATTATTAATACAATATAATATTATTTATTTATTTATTATTATTATTATTATCATGTATTGTATTATTATTCTCAATCATAATTAGTAATAACAGTAATGACCGTGAGGTGTGCAATACACTTCTTTTTTGTGCATGGAGCCACTGCCCTTTTTAATAACCGGCTCGTGGGATATTAATTTTAAATTAATGATGATTATAATCGAAAAACACGTTCACTATTGCATTTTAATACAACACGAATTCGTATCTATATATATTAGTGATTTTTACAGTGGAACAACCCCTTCTGGTTTCTAATTGATAGTGAGATATACCCTTACTGTACTTACAAATACATATTTGAATTGAGGCCTTTGCA